GTTATGAAGATACTATTGACGAGATTTTACGAGAGAATTGGTCATGGAAGAAGAAAGAAATGTTGATGATACTGAGGAAGCTACAGTTCAAATAAAAGATACGAAATGGACCGATCAGAGGCACGAGCATATCTGAAAAAAACAAACAACTTTTTGTCCAAGCTGTCCTGATCAAACTCAACTTTGCAGAGAATGTTTTAATGTTATACACTGCGAATAATTTTTTTAATAAACCATTTTTATAAGAATTCAATAGTTTCATTACCCCCTGTAGAATATTTGTCGAAATATTTTCGGAAATCCTTTGTAAGTAGTCAAATCAGCGTCGCCCGAATTACGGGTGACGTGGCCTGATGAGAACTTTTGCTGTCACCCGAATATGGGTGACGCGGCAGTCAACGTGTTAATCGTTTAGCAGAGATCTTAATAATCGGTGTTGTTTTGTTGATCTTGTCTTCTTGAGTGCGGTAGACTGTTGGGCAATGCAACGATGCGTTATGCATTGCACTGATACGTGTTTTGCAGAAAATTGTGTCTGACAGGAAAATTTTTCGCTTGCAACACGTAGAATATTACTACTTATTGTATTATTTTATTGTTAATAGATCATGGACTTTATTAGCACTGTAATACATACTTAATATAAAGATATTTGGACACAGAGTTACATTTCGTGTCGTTCCTCTGTCCATGATCGAAACCATGTTTCACATCACAACGTTCTTAATAACAATTTTGCATGAAATAGAACTGTCGACAACAACAAATTGTAGATGATTCAGCAACTTTGCTACATTTAATAATAACGCTAATAATACTAACGATTTTATTCGCGTATAACGGGTAAAAACCCTTTGTTACAAACAAAGAGGTAGGAAACAAGAGATTTTGCACAGTCGTTACGCGAGTACAATAAAAAAAAAATATAATTATACAATACAAAAAGTAAGAAATAGTGTATTATATACAATAATAAATATATAGTAGAATTAACAAATATGCATAGTACAGGAAATGTAATAAACGAACAATTATCAGACATACAATTAAGTAATACCGTTGTTAGAATAAGAATAGAAAAGAAAGATTAATCAAAAGTAACAGAAAAATTAGGTTTGTAGAATGTTGAGCAGTAATCAAAAGTATAGCAGAGTGTCTGAACGAGGTACGAGTTGTGAAAATAATTCAGAAAGGCTTCATAGCGATTTGTATAAACTACTAACTTAAACTATATTTAAACAATTCTGGTTTAAACAATTCTAGTAAATATTTCGCTGCAAGTATAAGAGAAATCAACAAATCCGACAATTTTACAAGTCAGTAATATAAACAATTCTCACGGTGCACGTTCGTTGCATCCAATCGAATGTACTTTTCCGAGCGTAATCGGTGCTTTCCGTGCTAACCGAGAACGTAACATCGGCGTCTTAATTTCTCTGGCTGAAGCCCCAAATTTTTTTGTCGGCGCAACAGGAGATCGGCTAGAAAAGGTTCCGACTAGAGACGCGCGTACAGCCATGATCTGTTGTCCGATGGTATTTTACTAGTTCGTTCCACGGTGTTCCATCTCTCGAGAAACCGTGTTGCTTTCTTTTCGCCACTTTTCACTCTCCGGGACGCGAACGCCTCTGTCTTTCTCCCGTTCCCTCGGTCTCGGATATCTTCGATTCTGTTCTCTCGTCCCTTCATAGTTCATATATCAAACGCTTAGGCAAGGCGGCGACACATAAATACCGTACACGGTATATAAAAGCCAGCACCTCCGGAGGATTGTATCCCACTAGGTGAAATATATTAACCGAACCGGGGCCGCGTGGGTTTCACGATTTTCGGGGACACTTCTCCCTCTTTCTCCGTTTCTCCCGGCCTCCGTGAGACCGGTCGCTCGGATTCACCGAGTTTCGAGGTTCGTCTTTCTTTATCTTGGCTCTCCTCCCTTCTCCACGCCGACCGAATGACTTATGGCCTGCGGCGAGCTTTAATCCTCGTCACTATCGCGGGATTATGGCCACGGTACTAATAAGGACGATCGCGATCGGCTTCTTCTTACCCGGTGCTTGTTCTTCAAGCAGAAAATTCCGATCGGAGCCGGCTCTTCTGGCGAACGATACTGCGAATTTTGTTAATGTATTTCTTTCGGCACGTTGCTGAAAATTTACATGAGAAATTACGTAATTACAAAATGTACATGAATGGGAAAAATTGTAGTAAATTCGATCTCGTCATTTTTATAGGCAGTACTTTTATACCAGCCGGAATATTTTGATGCAATTTAACACGTTTAACACGTTCCTCCGACCCTTCATTGATTAAGATTTGTTTAATGATTCTCTACTGTGACAGGAATATTTTGATACAGTTTAACATCTATTGTCGTACGATTTCGTTCATAGTTGTGATAATTAACATGTTTTTAACGATTTTCTACTGTAACAGGAATATTTTGATACATTTTGACATATTTTTGTGTTAATTCGTTCATAGCTGGGGTAATTAGACTTTCTTTAATAATCCTCCACTGTGTCAGGAACATTTTTGATATAGTTTAACCTCTTGTCGTATAATTTCGTTTATAACTACGATCTTTAGAATTTTTAAGTAATTTCTCGCAAGACTAAGAAAATTTAATTTAGTGACTAAATGTTTGATAAAGGAAAACAAAGTGTTGTTTCGATTTAAAAGTAACGAATGATGTGCATTTTTAGTAAATAAACCTTGCAGAAAATTCACAATAAATATCCAGCGTAGACTGGACCTGTGCAAATGAAATATATTGTATGTTCATGAATAATAAAATAAAGTATACACAAGGCTAAGATAATTACAGCATAATTCAGTATAAAATTATACTGAATAAGTGGTGTAATAAGCAGCAAACAATCAGACCGTTAAAAGTGTGGTGAAGGAATTTTGATCAAGTGTTTCGATGAAGTATTAAAAATATGTCATTTTGTGGAACAATTTTGTTAAAATTATTATCGAAGACCAGTTTGCCCTTTGGTAAAATTATTTTTCACAAGTATGCGAAGTTACGTTACGTTTCGATATTTAATCCAGGATCAACGTGCAACAAAACATTTTTAAGATCGCAATGGGAAGTATAAAAGCGTATCCCCGACATCATAAATTGAGGATTTTATTATAGATCCTCCCCGTGACAACAATCGTAATGAGAGCGTCGAATCGAAGCCCCCTAAGAACGGAAGACACAGGAACGGAGAGGAGCGCCTGGTTGCTTGATTGGGTTAGCGCTTAGCCCCGTGATTGCCATTTGTGAGTCCTTTGCCATTTTCGCCTTTGAGCACCCTCGAGATTTCGCATCAGGGCCTCCTCTTTCAGCAGACCTTCCTTCGAAAAGTTTTAGTGGGGAAATGTGTGAACCATCCGGAGGAAACTTCGAACGTGATCGAGGAACTAAATTCCTAATTCGATCTCATCGCAAAATAAACAACAGTCGAGTATAATGATTAATATTCAATCAATTTTTTAAATATGATACATGATCTTGTGACTTTTTCCTTTGGTGTCTACTACACAGTCATCATTAAAAATATTACACGCGTGCTTGTTGTAAAAATTGCCGAAAGTTAAAGCAGCTGCTACAATTCAGCAATTTAAAAATAGTCAAAGTTAACTTGCCATTTAATAATAAAATGCTCATTATTAAGAGTTGTGATTACTGAGAAAATAATTATAAGTCAATACGTTAAAGGAATGTATATTTGTTGACATTATAGTACAATTTTCTATCATCTTCTATCAGTTTAATGAATTTAATCATATCTAGCAGTTTCACAAGATCTAGGAAACAGTATAATTTAACCAAAAAGTGTCGAATATTGTGTTAGTAATTATCAGTCATTATATTAAAGAAATACTTTCACCTGGTATATCTTTATCACAGATTTCAGCCATTTTTAATCGTTTCAATTTATAAAAATAAAAATCCAGTCTAATCAACATCCCGTAAAACGATGATTTTAAAATTCAACGTAACTTTCTTAAGGAATAACTAATAGCACACAAATGAATATTAATCAACAATGTACTAAAGAAATGTCTCCTATATACCATAGATTTTAGAGCCAGCTTTCAGCATTTCTCTTTCTTCAATGAAAAACCGTCTAATCGGTGCTTCTGGACTCCAAAATTTCGTAATTCCTGAAATTTCAATTTCCTGCAATTTATTTCTACAATTTCAATTCTCCACAATTCACTTCTACAATTCATTTCTGCAATTCACTTCTGCAACGTCAATTCTCCATAATTCATTTCTAATATTTCAAGTTTCTACAATTCATTTCTACAGTTTCAATTCTAATGGTAGACCTATCCACAACACAGCCCCTTGCAATGCTTCCCGCAAATGCTGTTCTCCTGATCATGCACATTGAAGAAGCATTTTTCCCTCAAGCCGTTTCTCAAGACATTGGTTTCCATCCTCGACATCCCGCTACCATTTCCCTGATTAATTTCCCTCGCATAAAAGCGATTCGTAAACTCGTTTCTCCGCGGACCGTGCTCCACATTCGCATACCTCATAGCCCCCCTAAATTGTTCATCCCTCCCACGCTTAATTGTTTCGTCGACGGAGCTATCCCCGTTTCTCCGAACATCGTCGACAGTTTTCTGGCATGCAGGGGTCTCATCGGAGTCTATAATTATCCGGTGATGCTCGACGCTTGGTTTTATCCTGGGTTTTGTCCTGGATCTAATCGAACCGCTATTCGCAGGATTTTCATTCTCTTCTTTCTCCGATGATCTATTCTTCGGACATCCTCTGAACTTCCAGGCAATGGGATTCTTCGATCTGAGGCGATTGCCTATCCGAATTGGCAACCTCGAACTCGTAGACAGTTCGGATCGGATCTTCTTTTCGATATTCAGACCCGCGAACTTCCTCGAGACGGAATCCTCGTTCAGGGAGTCCTCTAGCTTCCGTTTCAGACGCGCGGCAGCCTTTTCAACGAACTTTATGCCAGCCATATTGTCCTCGTTCTCCATTTTCTTCCTCTTCTCGCTCTCCATACCGTGTCTCGCTTCGTTTTCTCTTTTGAGGCTTCGACTGTATCCTGTCCAGCCGAAAGCCTGCATCCGAGCAACCTTCGGTTGGTACCTAGGCTCTCCGCAGCTCTGACCATGGCAGTTCTCAGAGTGTCTCGCATCATTCGCGAAGCAGTTCGAACACAGTTTCTCTCGGCTACCATCTCGATTGACCTCTGTCTTCGAGCCGATCCTCGTTCTGTGCAGAACCTCCACTGACCTGGCAGATTTGTCGATTCTGTACGTGTCAGGAACCTCCTCCAACCCTCCCGGACCCGCAGAATTCAAGTAACGATCAACGTACTTCAAGCTTTCCGAATCGGAAGGTCGGTCCAGATCCAAGCTTCTCTTCAGACTCTTCTTGTCCGTCATTGGTGCATCGTTTTCGTTGACTAGATGTCTTCTCGGTGGATGATACTCGGTGTCCTGAATCAGTCTTTGATCCAGTACGCATCTGGCCCTCCTGTTACCAGGGATCTTTCGTCTGTTTTCGTCGTCCAGAGGAACGAACTCCCAAAAACCGATCACCTTCTCGCTCTTCCCTGTGTCTATCGAGGAAGTTGGTGCCACGGTGGCGTCCGTGGACGTAGAAACTCTCGCGATGTCCGATATACTGTCTTTGTCCACTGCTCGATCCACGAATCTTTGACTTCTCTCGGAGGATCGATCGCGATTCGTGTTCCCAGCTCGATCAGACGCGAGGTTGAACAACGAAGACTTCGGCGATCTTTGAGGATCTTTGATGATCCTTGGAATTTGCTGGACCTCCACTTGTTCTGGCTGTTTTCGGCCGGGTTTGGAGCAGGATCGTGTCCCCCCGTGTCGATCCCTTGGCGGAGAATGCGTTCTAGATCGGATTCTGCGGTCTTCAAGTTCATCGAGGATTTCCTCGACGTTATCTGCCTTTGCCGATGCGATTTTTGGGTTCTTCCGGTATCTCGACGCCCGATGAGTCCTCCGTAGATTTTCATTGCTTGGTTTCTTGGCGATTCTCGGCATCGGCGCCCTCAGACCCTGCCAACGATCCTTGGACACGTGGCGATCAAAGACTTCTGGGTAATCCGGCTCCAGGGCCACCATCGTTTTCTCTTTATCGGTGGTCGGCGTTTCGTCGATCCTGGGTTTCATTTTGGGAACGATTCTCGGTATAGCTGATTGGGGGATCAGTGGTCTCTTTCGCGTTGGACAACTCAATGGTCTTTTTTGAGGGCACGCCGTTTCATGATCCCACTGAACTTCCGACGGAGGTACTGGAACGTTTCCTCTGCTCCATCGATTCAGTCTTGGTTTCGCTGATTGCACTCTTGAACTCGTGTTTACGTCTTTTGTGTCTGGACTCCTCTTCGCTGTTGCAGCGTTGATCGCGTCGTCGTGGGTGGGCTGCTTTTTCCAACGTTGCTGGAAGAATCGATAGAAAAACCGCAAGATGATGTTACATAATGGCAGTGTCTTTCTGTAATGCGTTTCTGTTTCATTTGTCGCGACAAGGATTATTTGTTGCATGAAATGGAAACTGCATTTGCGACTGCGCAAACTTTGATCTTAATAATTGCTGCATTTTTATTTTGTTTTATTTTATTTAGTGAGCCATTTTGAGAAGCGACACGCACTTTAATCCTCACAGTCAGTTTACTCTTTTACAATGAAAACAAACTGATGTTATGTATAAAACACGTAAATTGAATTGATAATAATATAACGTGTAGATTAACGAAATAAATGCATGTAGAGTAATCAAAATATCTGTTTTCGATTAGCGGGAATAATACAGAAGGGATGGAGTACACAAGTTTCCTTTGATTAATTTACGAAGCTAGTTTACTTGTTACCAAAAGAATCATCAATGTTTGAAGTTGGAAACGTGTCTGTGACGATTAACATAAATTTTGAATTTCTATTTTTTTAAGATCGAAAAAATAATGCTGATGCTTTCAACCCCCACAGTCAGTCCAGTATTGAACTTATTCTTTTACCATAAAAGCAACCAGAAACAAATAACTATTTTCTAAATATTTCTGAGACTAGAACATCTAAAAAAAATTAAATTATCCGCTTCTGATTAACAAAAAGAATAGACGAATATTTTATCATTCTTAAAGAAAAAAGGATATAATAGAAAATCTATGAATTCATAATAAACGAAAGTGTTAAAAATTCCTATCTTTTGATTTACCTCGTCGATGTTTGGTCGATGATTAATTTCAGGCTGCTTGATGAACGTTTTTCCGAAATCTTTCGCGGGTCCATCATTCTGTCGCGGTTTCTCCTTGTGAATCTTGTTCGCTGTTCTCTCATCATGCTTTATCCTATTATTTCTTATTGTGGAAGTTCTCGCTGGATTGTATTGGCCATTATTCTGTAAAGTCATAGTCGGTGATACGGCATCGCAGCCCACGTCCGAGATCTCGATAATCTTTCTTTGATCCTCTTCGGGATGGTCAGCGAAAATAGGTGGCACGTTGTCCACGAAAAACAGGAATGGACTGTCAACGAAGCCGCTCATGTTCTACGAAATCTGTGCCCCATGAATTCGAGAACCACATAGCCTCAAAAGTTCCTGGTGAACGCGCAGTTTTCGCAAATATGTTTTTACTTTATTTGCCTGTTGATCATGCCTTCTTCCATCGAAGATGGTTCTTCGGCTTTATGGTGGAATTATGAAATCTGTTTGATGATTATTGTGTGTGTGTGTACTTGGGATTTAAATTTCATTGATTGCCGAATTAATTACATTTTATTGCTGAAATTTTTCATGGGACCGATAGTCAAGTGTTCATTTTAACTAAGCTGCGAATTTCATGTATTTTATTGTTAATTAAAATTGAAATTCATTCAAAATGTCATTAAAATGATCGAATTGCGATAGGATACTAACCGAATAGATAAAACAAAATTGATAATGCTTTGGGAATAGATAAAGTCAATTTTATAGTACTCTAATGTTATTCTAAAATTAATTTCGTTATACTTTAATATTATTATAAAATTAATTTTATGATACTCTAATGTTATTGTAACATTAATTTTATAATACTTTAATGCTATTATAAAATTAATTTTATAATACTCTAATGTTATTATAAATTTATGATCATAAAAATAATTGTATAGATTGAATATTTTTTAAAATTCGTAATCTTTATTGCACTGCATATTACGAATAAGGAAACGATTGTTTCGCCTTTATTATTAAGAGAAAACAACTATCTATACTGAATAATTTTATGAATTTATCGACGGAGATTAATATGAACAAGCTTAAGAATTGAGCCATGAACTTGGCGCTAGCATCCATTGTACATTTTATATTAACTTGGTCGTTTCACCACGGATGTCGCCATAAGTAAATTCGAACTATGAATCAAACGCGATTCCCGCTGGAATCTGCAAGATATTTAAACCGGAAGCCATCGAGAATCATTCGCGAATGCTTGCAAACGATTAATCAATTCACCTAAATAATGAAAGTCCATCAAATTGTACCGTCCAACATGCATGTTCATTTCTGGAATATTATATAATATATATATTAATAATCAGCATAATATATATACCTATATATATACCTATAATATATTACCCTCTATATATATATATTTAACATCTATGAAAAAGAGAGAAAACCTGCGCTCATATTGAACAATTACATTTAATAGTAGTTTACATAGCTTTCGTCCGTCGAAACATAATAATATTATATATATACATAATAATATTATGTCGAAACATAATAATATTATATATATATAATTATGTTTCGACGGACGAAAGCTATGTAAACTACTATTAAATGTAATTGTTCAATATGAGCGCAGGTTTTCTTTTTCATAGATGTTGGACGGTACAACAGCAATATTGAACTCAATCGATGTCAAGTTTCTTGAAGCTTCCTTCAACGCCAGAATTGTCGGTCGCCGATTTTGCTTTGCCAGGCCTCAACGCCTCATTAACTCGTCTAGTTTGTTCATCCATCTGGAAGAAATCCAGATTGTCCTCAAGTGCTTTCACGCTTCTCTTGTGCAGCTCCTCTATGGGGCCTGCTTTTCCACCTGCTTCGGTCGGCAACGCGTCTATTGGCAGGAATTTCGCCAGCGTATCCAGGGTCGTGTGTGTGTGTGTGGAGCTAAATTGAATAGGGAACAATGTTATCGAAATGATTAAACCGAACAAAAAATTCGTGCTTCTTCTCCGAGAAAGGATTGCAATATCTTGTCGTATAAATCGTCAGCAATTTTTCTCCTCCTTTTGTAATTGCATTTATTATAATTGGACCGCAGATCATTATGCAAAATGAAAGCGTGCATCGATTGCAAGAAACGGGAACTCTGAATAGACATTTATTCTAGTCCGAAATAATTGAAATGAGTTACAAATAATGTAATCAAATTGTTAAATTTTTCTGGCTTGTGATTCAACTTTCCTTTTTTTTTGTCGCAGATGCACGAAATCTGCGGTCTCGTTATAATACTAAAACATCATAGGAACTCGTAGAAATTTTCTCGTCCGTTGCATCCATCGATTTTCGTAAGAGAATGATATTAAAGAAACAAATTCTAATAGGTTTATAGAATACGAATTTACATACGCAGAATACGAATTTTTTCTCCGTCTGTTGCTGGTAATAGAAGCTCGGTAAAATAATTATTTCATCTCTTAATATTTTTAATAATTCGAGGATAACGTTTCCGAATATTACCGACGATTTTACTATCTTGCCTTTTGCCTGTTTAGTTTTATAATAGGCAGATTTTACGCATTTACGAGAATATTGAGCGGGTGAAGTATAGAACAATGAAAGCAGTTTGAAGAATTTAAAAACGTTGTTATATTATTTCCAACTTACTGGATTTATTGACCGTGCCGATACATTTTTATTCGACTGTGGTTTTTAACAAGTGTTATCGTAATACTCGTCGCAAGTAATAACAGATGTATTGAATAAACAATTCATAAACGTATATGTTTGCAATCTGAGCAATCGTGAATTTAATAAATCCAACATTTCGACCGAACATTGAGCGAAATAAAAATTGAACATTTAGGATGTGTGATACGAAATATTATTTCACCTTTCAATCGTGCTAAATCGAATGAAATCGTGTAAAAAGCAAATTGAATTTATTTTTCTACACCTAGTCCCTTCAACATTTAAAACGAGATTCGAGTCGCATAGTCCCGTTTTAATAGAGTTATTGCGTTTTAAAAGGTATTCGAATACTTTTGGCAGGATATTGAAAGAAATTAGTGAATTTACATTGAGCTTCCAAGAGTGATAACATTACTGAAATATTTTTATACTATCACACACACACACACACACACACACACACACACACACACACACACACACACAGAGAGAGAGAGAGAGAGAGAGAGAGAGAGAGAGAGAGAGAGAGAGAGAGAGAGAGAGAGAGACGAGGTATGAAAGTAGACTGGACAGCCATATGGACACAGCCTTAGGCCCCCTTACCATTTTCGTGTCGCGCTCTGCGTTACCGATAGTTCACGAATTTAGGCACGTTAGCAAGAAGCGAATGTCCTATATATTTCATTTCTACGAGTACTGAATGTTATTTGAAGGCAATAAACATGTACGTGGAATGGTAATAGAGCTTCTAAAATCTTATTTTTGGGTGACAAAATAATGCATTAGATGTTCAGTTTGTTCTTATACCTCGTCTGTTGTACTATCTATTGCATTTCTAAGATTTCGGATGAGAGGTATATTCCCCATTCCAAATTCTACGACCTTCATAATCGGAAATGCTCATTATTACAAACGTATGAAGAAATATTATATATAAACAAAGAAATATTCCGACCTTCCCATCATCCCCTGCCTATTCGCACGATCCGTTAAAACCTGATCTAATACTCGTATCCATAATGATTACACTGTCCGACAAAATCAAACTTTTTTTCTGGGTTCCTATAGCCACTATGAAATTCTTGTAGAGCTTCAACAAACAAAATGTACATCGTTCTGACACTTCTATCGGGCCGTTTCTTCTTCAGAAATGTCTTCATCTGTTTTCGTGCCGAACAAAAAACTTTTCGTAAAAATACAAAGATATTGCGCAAAAATGCTCACGTCGACACATTTTTAAACTTTGACATCAATTTATTGCTATTTAGGACCAGTAACAATTAATAAATTGCATGCCACTATATTCGGGAAACTCTCCTCTATCTTTTAACACCAATTAAAACTTTCTAACGTTTCTACTTTTCATGTAATACCTCATTTTTGTCGAAAATTTTGGGCTTTTAGAAAGGTTCGTTTATTTAAAAAACTAAGGGTGATGGAGCAATTCGGTTTTCGGATTCTTGTTCAGGGAGTGAAGTTCTACAAGAATTTCATAGTGGCTATAGGAACTCAAAAATCGTGTCGGACAGTGTTATCAGAATGGTTAACCGATGATGGAACTGCATACCTATGGTTAGATCGCTTTGGAGCATTAATCATCTTAAAAAATAATATGTGATGGTGTCGCGTGAGGTTCTAGTGGATTTTAATAAAGACAAAATCAAAACTCAAATTGTATAAAATATATTTAATATTCAATACGTCTGTGTCCGGAAAGAGCTTCGAACAACAAATATGACGATTCTCAATCGTTCGTTCCTAACATTAACATTCGTATTTTATTTCTATGTAGCGCTTTATCACATAGTTTTGAATATTATTAATTCTATAATAAACAAAATAAAATAGTTACATGAAGTTATTCTAATTTGAAGTTCCCTCCAAAATAATATTTAAAGATGGCGATTTAATTTACTATGTTCACATACGGGCAAGATGAGTACCGTAACACCTTCTAGAAAGATGTTTCCAAAAAAAGTTTGGAAACAGCCTTTCCTGTTCATAATTCCATGAAGCCATACATGTTAGTAAATTTTGTGTATCATTAGTCATAACAGTAAGGAGACACAATATTACAGTAATGAATACAATCTAACTTGGGTGTTCCAATAAAATTCTTAAATTATAGTAAATGTAATTATTCAATTAAATGTAGTCTTATACATGCTAATTTTAGTTTGTTTACATATGCGATTTTGAATTTTTTTATTCCTATGGCTATTTCAGTTGTCAAATCACTTAACATGCGTGTGATTTTATATAGTCCTAACTGTTCACAATTGAATTAAAAAATTTTCGGTTTTTTTAATAAATAAACATAATCACGTTCTTGAAACTGATAAGTACTTACAAGTTTGTCATAATATTCTTTATTTTTTCTTTTTCTTTAATGGAATTTTCTGCTGCAATACTGACTAGCAGTTAATTTAATTAATAAATTGCCTAAATAATCAATGAAAGTTTTGATACTTTTTGTTTATCAAATTCCGATGGAATTATTGCCTTACTTTCAAAAATAAGCTCGTGTAGTGAAAAACCTGTAGTTTCATGAATTGAGATATTATAAGAGAAAATGCCATATCTGATCCATTCGTCCCAATACTCTGTTGTAAAAAAATATTTAAGGTAAGTAATGAAAGTTCTATGAGCTTGCTCTAAAGAACCCAAAGATTCGGGATGAAACACAGTTGATGTGATTTTCTGAATTTTAAAAATTTTACAAAATTGTTCTATTGTTTTACTTATAAAATTACTTCCTGATCAGTATGAATCATTTTTGCACAACCAAATTGACATATGATTTCTTGAGCAAAAGCAGCTGCTACTGTAATATTTTCTATATCAGAATATACATAGCATCAGAATGTTTAGTTAAATTATTCTGGACAGTATTTTCACTTGATAATTTTTTGACTACCAGATAGAAAATATAATATTTATCTTGATAAGTTGCTAATGCTTCGCCTACATTAAATGTGTACCCTTTCAAATCCTCTATATTAAATTTACCTTGAGTAATTAAATGTGCATTAATCTGTGATACTGGTTCGAGATCTGAACTTACAAAATTAACAACATTATTTCTCTGCATTAATAAATGATCTTTCGTATAAATCATTGAACTTAAATCATTTATCGCCAAAACTGTCTTAATATTTTCTCTTTCTATTATCAGTAAAATCAACTTATTTTCACTACTTCCTCTATCATTCCCCACCACAACTGATTCCTCATGCACAAAGGAATCAGCGACTATTTCTGTTTCTAAAAGTTTTATTTTATTTCTATCCAATTCAGCTTTTGAGAGTGATAACAAGTTAATGCCCCCTCCCAGATACTTTTAACTAACTAAGCGAATAATACTACTAATAATTACGTAATATTAATAGAAAACTCGATAATGGTGATGACCTCAGGAATACTTCGATAATGGTGATGACCTCAAGAACGCCTCAATGATGGTGATGACCTCAGGAACGCCTCGAATATGGTGATGACCTTAGGATCGCCTCGATGATGATAGTGTTCTCCACAACGCTACGCACGGGGTGGGTAACAATTTGACCTTGACGGAGTTGATCGTCGCGCTGCAGCTGTGCGAACGGACATCAGACAAACCAAATTGGAAATATTTTCGACCGCCAGGTGGCACACGTATACGTTTCTGTGACCACAGGTATCGAACACGATGTATCGGTAAAAATGTAGCGGTAATTTTTCGCACCCGTGATTTCAGGGGGCACGATGAAATTAACACGTTAAATGCCACGGGGGTCACCGGTGACCGGCACTTAACTTGGCGGTGACGCCATGGGGGACACCGGTGACCGGCACACCCAAATCGATAGAAATATATATAATTTAAAACAAATGTCAATATCTAAAATTTGGTATTATTACCATCGTCGATTCAAACAGTGACCCCTGTCGCAATTAACATGTCAAACATGGTTATACACTGTAACTTATCTATAGCAGATAATATTTCAATATTATATGTATCACATAAAAGAAAATTCATCGTGGCGCCACGGACAATTTCTGTAAAACCCGCGTGGCATTCAACGTGTTAACTTCACTACGGGGTCGCTGAAACTACCTTGCTCCGGTATTCAGCCTTTGCTTCCGGGAAAAACCCAGAACGGAGAAGAGGTGCTTGTTGCTGAAGAATTTATCTTGCAACTAACGTTGCAATTAATCTTGCAATTTATTTTGCAACCCCACTTTTGACACCAATTTGTTGTGCGAGGTTCTAGTGGATTTTAATACAGACAAAATAAAAACTAAAATTGTATTAAACATATTTAATATTTAATACGTCCGTCCAGAAAGAGCTCCAAACAACAAATGCAACAGGAGCTCCAATCGTTCGTTCCTAACGTTAACATTTGTATTTTATTTCTACATAGTGCTTTATCATATAGTTTTGAATATTATTGATCTTATAATAAACAAAATAAAGTAATTACACGAAGTTATTTTAACACATTAAAGGCGGGAGTCGTAGTACTACGATTTATCTCGACTTCTCATAAATATGTACTTTAAAACATTTTTTGTAATTAGTGTTTAGTTCTTTTTTAATATTTCTTTTAGTTTTAAGAGTTTAAATAAACTTTTTTAAGTCTAAATTTTTTTTATGATTACACAAAATATCGCCCGCTCTAGGACGAAAAACGAGGCGGGGCGGTCGCCGCGTTACCTAGCATACTTTCGTCAAGTTCCCCCGCCTTTAACACTACGCCGTCCGGTGGCACCACGCTGGTGCCATGCAAAAACTATCTGTTGTATGCCGGTGGTACCACTTTGGTGCCATTTTAAAAAACTGAAATAACATTAGAACTATATTTCTTGGGTGTTAAAAGGCAGCAAACTAACTATAGCATTGTGCTTATTTAACTAAGAATTAAGTACGAAAATTCTTGGATGACTTATATTAATTTTAGGAATTTATATTACCGCCATCTTCGAATTTTTTTTTAAATCTAAAATTTCCAAGCTATTATGCCGGCGTCAAACAAAAGAATCATATCTAAGATCTGCGGACGGCATAGTGTTAATGTGTTAATTTGAAATTCCCTCCAAAATAATATTTAAAGATGGCGGTTTAATTTACTATGTTCACATACGAACAAGACGGGAGTCGTAACAGGGGTGAAGGGCCTCTCGACGGAAGTGCCTACGACTCTGAGATTAGTTAATGCGGTCGCACGGACGGCGGCGCGTACATCGGATTCCCGAAGCGACACGAGGCCCGCTCGCAAACATTCTACGACGTGTCTACCGTCCGTGATCCGTGGCCAAGTTAGCGGTTGGTCGCGATCAGTTGCGATCATGATGGGGATCAGTACCAGCTGACTCGTTCGTCGGGAGGTCGGAGCACGTTGTGTTCGCGTCTGGTCTCTGGAGACGTACCCTTTCGCGTTTCCGTCGGCGGTGGCTATCGACCAATAATCGGTGTACAAGTTCGTGCTAGTTAGGAACACGCGTCTATCGTGGACCATTAAGATATCCCAGAGACTTCTTGGCATAGCCTTTCAAGCGCACGGCTATACACGATGGAATGCGCGCGGCAGTGACGAGGATTGTGACGATGTTTTGAAGGAACACGTTTACCCACGTGGAACGCGGTGCCAGTTTCCTTGGTGACTCAGCGGGGCCTTGGGCATTCAAGCAAACGTAAGAAGAGAAGTACACTGTTAGACCGATCGGAAAAGGAAACGTTGACATCCTTTTCTTCCTTGGTGTAGACACAGGAGAGGAGGACACTTGACCACGACGATGCGCGCGTGTGTGTGCCCGTATCCGTGCGCGTGTACGTGTGGGTAGAGAGGGAGCGGAAGAAGAGGGATAAAGAGTTTAGAAAAGACGGAGCGAGACGGAATACAAACGTAACGGAATGGATAAGGAGAAGGAGAGGGAAGGAGAGGGAAAGACAGTACAGAAGGAAAGGAAAGAATAAAGACGCTCTCGGCCGCGAGTGTGTCCTTCTGTTGTGTTTGATCGTGAAAACACGTGGGGTGCGACGCGGGAGAGGGTACCTCCCCCCAAGTATTTAACGAACTTTCCTTCAATAACGGCAGAACGAGACAAACAGTGTATCCCCTGATCTTGACGATCAATCGTTCTTTGCCGGGGAAAAATACCGGGTCGCACAGTAGAGACACATCAGGAAAACGCTGTCTGGACGTCATCCTGTCACGCAGAAATATGCGCGAACGGTAAAACATGCTGCGCATATACTACGACTAGGAGTATTGTGTCTGTGCACGTGTGCATGTGCGTGTCGCGGCACTTTTCTCGCCACGCGGTGGTGGTAGTGCGTGATCCGTAGTGCGTGAACGCGTCAGACCCGTGCGCCAAAAGGTCGGGGCCGAAGTTCTCGATGCAAAACGAGTCGCTTGATCCGCGTCGCGACACAAGACGCAACCGAGAAACGGCCGCTCTGGCCTGTAGCATGTCTGGCTCTGACGCGGCGCTTTTACCCTCTTGCTGTGCCTCTGGTGCGTGACGTAACCCATTCAACCGCTTACTACGCAATACGGGACACGGGCGACAGTGTTCGCGTCTCTTTTTCTCTGTCGTCGAACCCTATATACCCTCTCGTCCGTTTCTAGTCTATCTCTTTTTGTTTCGCCTGATCCCGAGCCGCTCGCGCGCCGTCATCAACGCCAACCCTTTCTTTCCTCGACCCTGATGATAATGGCGACGCGTGACACTCTTCTACGACGTTATTATTGTTGTCCCCGCGAACGCGTGCGAACAACCTTTCCTCATTTTTTCGATTACGCGTCACCGATTTCGTTTGTCCTTTATCTCGGCTGCCGCACCACCACCATCTCTCGATGGCCACTTAGTGGCTGGAATTAAAAAGATCTTCTTATCGACTTTTTTTTTCTCTATGGACTACGTACATGTAAGTATACGTGCGGTGAACCTTCGGGCGGGCGCATCTATTTTTCGTAGCACATGGTGTTGTACTCAAGTTTTCCGGCAGGGGATACCTGAAGTTGCGTCGCAAGTGTGAACTAGTAAAAGTGGGTTTTCTTGCGGAAGTACCTCGGTTGTTCTGTTGTGTCTGCACTGCGGATCATTGCGTGTTTAGAAGATAGATACAGAAATGGAAATTGTTTCTTGAGAAAGGATTTTGTTTATAAAATTTTTTCATTCGTCTTGAGGGCCAGACGTATTTGATTTTATTTATGAAATTTTGCTCGAAGCTATTGAGATCATCTTTGTACATGTAAGGGAAAACTTTTTTATTCATTAATGATTTAATTGGAAAATTTTACATTTTTATACAAAAGGGTTTCTTGCTTGCGTTTATTTTTTTAGAGGTATTTTTGTGCAATTTTGTGACAATAGTTGCAACAATGTGTATTATCACACTAATTACATGTTGATAATGAAAATATTTAGTTCATCAAAGTTTTCATTAAATTCCTCTCTGCTTACTTTCGATTTCGTTAATTTTGTTGTCATTAACTATTGAGAAATTTTTATCCTTTTCGCTTTCAGAAGTCACATAAATATTTTGTAAGAACATAACTGTATCCAACCACTGATAAAACTAAATTTTCAAGAATTCAATTCTCGACGCGTTGTTCAGAAAATTGTGAAACTTTGGCGACGTGTTGAGCTTAATTATGTAATTACGCAACAATGTATGCTGCTCAAATTCATTTTAACGGAATTG